TGTCCTACATGGAAGGAAATTGGAATACGGAGGCTATTTGATGGATCTGTTATAACTTTACTTGTCAATCGTATTATTTTAATTGTAATTTTCTTTCCGTTATGAATATATATATTGTATTAATAGAGTAAGGAAAAGGAATAATGTGTAAAATAATACGTTATTCTAAATATTTTAGAACGATATGTTATGTATTAAATTCACAAGATATTCTTTTCTTTACTTTTATTTTTATTAAATAAATATATAGATATTGTTAATGATATAATTATAAAATATTATAAAATTTTATAATTTTATATTGTATAATTTGGGTATTAGAATTAGGCGTTACACTTGTAACACCCCATTTTTCCTAAAATATAATATAGGTATTTTATTAATAATTTTAATATTTTTATTTTTATTAATAAGAGTTGATTAATAGTTATTTTATTTTTATTTACTATATTGTGATAATTATTTATATTGTGATAATTTTTTCTATATGAATATAAAAATGGTTTTATGATTAAAATATATATTGTGTAATTATTTATTAAATAAGGGAAGGGACTTTTGGGATAACTATGGTTGAGATTTTTAACTAAAAGGTTAAAGGGAGGTTAAGTTTAAAAAAAAGAAAAAGAAAAAGGGAGTTGATCAATTTTTACATTTTACATTTTTTCACGTATGCGTTTACACTTCAAAGCTCGGAGAACCTGAAGGAGGAGGAAACCATCTTGGAGTTGATCGTCCATCTTTTTTTGCTCAACAAGGTAATTAGGGAGAGTGAGAAACCTCGTTCTGAGTGTGGGAATGTATGTTAGATAGTGGGATTGACCCCCAATCCTATCTCTATTATATGTCTATGTGTGAGAGATTTTCCCCAAAAGTGTCTCTTTCGTCTCTCTTTCTCTTTAAATGTTCTAATTGATGTAATTAATATGTATGTATGAGTAGTGTCTGTGTTTACTTTGTAATTCCATATTTTGGTGTTCCTATGGGTTGCTAGGGAAACCCTAAGAGAATACATTGATAGTTATATGAAAAGGTTGTTTGAAGATGTAATTGGTTGAGTAAATAGTACCATTTTTAATATTTATTGCATGATTTAAAACATTTTTACCGATTGTATGAAGAAATTGATGATTGGATGCAATATGTAAAAATTGTAGATTTTAAAGTTTATTATTGCAAAAACCATGTTGAGTGCCAATTTTGGTGCTAAGTGTCAAGGTGAGTAGAGAGCTTGTAGTGTTGTTTGTTACCCTTAGGCTGAGCATGAGCCTCACACTAAGCGTGGCCCATGCTAAGTGCGAGTTTCATGCTGAGCATGACTCAACTAGAAAGGGAAGGTTACTCTCTAGAAGCCTTGTGTTGTGACCCTAATTTGGGGTTGAGCGCTAGTTGCCCTATTATGTTTCTTTTCTTCTTTGTTTGATGAATTATATTGGTGTAACGTGAATCTTATGATACTTCTCTCTTGTGATCTATGATTGGCAATGACCTGAATTTCTTGCGTTATTCAATGTTTTCCTTAAATGAATATACTTGATGATTAAAGAACATGAGATAAATTGATATGATTGAAATGACATAATGAGGTGATATGATTGAAATGACATAATGAGGTTATATGATAATGAGACATGATAGTGTGATAAGATAATATACAAAGTCTTGGTTTACATACATCATTTGCATAAATATTTTTTAAGGGTACGATATGGAATACACTACCAAGAAAGGCCCTTTGTGTAAAAGCTTAAGGATCAGTCCTTGGGGATAGCTCGGTTTGTAAGTCCTAGTCTCGCCTATTTTGTGCATAAGATGTATCTTCCATGGCTTAGTTATGCTGACCAGATCCTGGTAGTATATTCTTCTAGTGAGAGTTCATAGAGGGTGTGACCCGACATGAACTCTTAGATTACTCTATATGTGTTGCTAGCGACAATGCATTATGTGATGTTTTACCAGCGTCACATGCATGATAATATGTAATTTGTGTCCATTACATGTGTATTTTAATATTATATGTTAATTAGTTTTTATTTCATGGATGAGTGGAGTGCGATATTGTTGTTAATCTGTCTATGTTATGTACATATATATGTCTTGGTGGAGTTTGGCTATTCGGTGTACATTCCTATATCGTGAACCAAAATGAGTTATTTCTCACTCTTTTTTCTTTTGTGTTGTTTTCTTTTGGTTATTATGAAGGTGATCATCAACATGAGGCTAAAAATGTTGGTGATAAAACTTAGACTTCAGTGTTGGGCTTTGCTCTGATAGAACACATGACATTGGGGTGTAAATAAGATTAGATTAGGATGTTGTTTCTATATATTAATTTATTTTGAAAGCCTTAGTTTTATTTTTTGTGTAATTTCTGTTGATTATGTTATTCTGTTAAAGTTAGAAGTGTGGTGCTCTCTATCTAAATATGTTTGGTATTTAATTATGAAGGATTATGTTTTTAGATTTTATTATTTATGTCTTATGATATGCGGGATAGAAGGTGTCACAGTATTCATGTAAAATAAAAATAAATAAAAGAACATAATCTAGTACATGTGATTCCATACTGTTCAAATCTATTAGATTAAAAATAGTGTATTTGATGGTTATAAATTATTTCCCATGGTAAGAGACCACGCTTCTTTGTAGATTTCTCCAGTTTACTTTTCCATTGAAATATTCTACCATCAAAGTTGATGAAATTTGGACGGAGACTTTAAAAGCAAAGATTATGGTCTAAAATCATGATGGAGTATGAATATGGTTAGCAGGTTCTTAGCTTCTAGCTAATTTACATTTTCAATGAAAAATCCTACGATACTAGTGAAAATATTGGACCAAGACTTTTAAAAGGAAATGATATGGTATATCATGGGTGTAGAATTTAAACAAGCTAGCATTCCAAACTTCTTTGTAGGTCCCTCTAACTAATTTTTTAGGATTTTTTTTTTTTAAAATAATGCATGTTCAAATTCAATTGATATAGACAACACAACAACCTTTTCACTAGATGATAATGAAAATTAAAAGGCATATGGACGAATAATGGTAATATCCATTTTTTATAAAAACAATATAAAGTTTAATTTAAAACTTTATGATACTATAATAGTGATTTAATGTTGATTGTTGATATCAATAGCTAGTATATAAATTTTATTATTCTCCTTATTGGTAAAATAAAATAAAAATAAGACAAAATCTTTAAATGCATGCGACGGTTTATGGTCTAGCCGTTAATTAGGACCCAATGAAAAATTTACAAAGCCTTTGACATTTCTTTGTAGGATAGGACCCTCTAGTCCTCTACTTTAATTTTTTGAGTGGAATATTATACGTTACTATACACGGGGTTGAAATTTGTACCATGACTTTTAAAAGAAAACATTATGATTTATATAAGTACGGGAGACGTCGATGTAGAACTTAAACAAGCATTTCACGTTTATTTCTAGGTCTCACTAATTAATTTTTATAAGAAATGATTTAATATGCAAGTTCTAATTCAATTAAAAATAATTAATTTTTAGTTGTCAGTTTTAAAACAATGCATGAATCATGTCTACTGATAAAAAAAAAAGTTAATTAGAAATACACAATAAAAAAATCTTATTTTGTGAATTAAAATCTATAATTAATTAAAATAGATGTTTTAGTATGTTTTAGAACGTGAGATTTGCGTTACTATTCAATCTTTGTATTTATTGGGTATGCTTTAATTAATTAAAATAGATATTATTTAAGTATGTTTTAGGAATAAGGTAGTCTTTAAATTAAACCTTTATTCTATCATTGATGCATATATTAATTTAGGGATGACAAAGTGGTCGTGGCCCACGGGCCCGCCAAAAATTAGCGGGTCGGGTCTATCATTTTAACCTGTCAACCAGCTAAGCTCGCCAACCTGTCGGGGCAAATAGCAGGTTGGCTCGCCACAACCCGCCGGCTCGCATATATGTTTTTTTTATTTAATTATTTTTATGTTTATTTTATTTTGATGTAGAAGATGAGGATGAAGATGATCAAGAAAAAAAAAATAGAAACAACTTTTTCCAAGAGAGCTTCTAACATTCTTAAAATAAAAATTTAAAGTTAATTAATTGTATTTGAACTTGTTTTGTGGACTATCAAAAAATTTAGTTTATAAGTAATTTGTAGTTTATAATTTGGTTTTGATTTTGGTGTAAGTGAACTAATTTCTATTTGATTTTGTTCTAAGTTTGTAATTTGCTTTTGTTGAACATATATTATGTACAACATGTATGCATTTTTAATTTCATATGGTTATATTTTTTTTATTTGTAGCAAATTTTTTTATTTGAACATAAAATATATGTTTTTAAATTTTTTTTTTGTATGCGGGCTAGCCCGCCAGCCCGTCCTTAGACGGGGCGAGCCAGCATCCCCAACCCGTTTTACATTGGCGGCCCGGCCCCACCCAACCCGCTTTTAGCTACCCGGGGCAAAACGAGCCGAGCCCGTTGCCATCCCTATATTAATTATTTATATTTTTCCTTGCTCGACTTAACTCACAAATTTCTTTGCTAATAGGTGAATTTTAATGGTTGATTGTGTTGATTGTATACACAGGAATTTCTGGGAGAGAGATAAAGTATATATAAAATTTATTGTACTCTAAGAATTCTGGTGAGTTGGATATTAAACTAAAGTCAAATTTTGAAAAAAGTTAACAAATACTAATAAAGCAAAAAGGGGAAAAAAAATAGAAAAGGCATTAAGCTAGTGTATAAATAATTGCCAGTTCTATACGGAGAAGCGCACTTATTCAATTAAGTTGTTCCTATCCAATATACATGGCTTGTGTGATCATGAAGTCATCCATTCTGACTCTTTGCTGCCTTGCATTGTTTACGTTGCGTTTTGGTGTTTGCAGAGAGATAGAGTGCATCCCAAGTGAGAGAGAAACACTTATGAAGTTGAAGCATCATCTCATTGATCCTTCAAATAGGCTTTCATCTTGGAATCATAATAATTCAAATTGTTGCCAATGGCCTCTAGTTGTCTGCAACAACCTCACTGCCCACGTTCTACAGCTTCACCTCAACACTTCGCCATTTGATCCAAATGACTATCTGCATCCTACTGTTGATTTCGAAGGTCACCACGAAGCTTATATGAGAACCCTATTTAGTGGAGAGATAAATCCTTGTTTGGCTGATTTGAAGCATTTGAATTATTTGGATTTAAGTGGCAATGATTTCAGAGATATGCCAATTCCGGCATTCATCGGCACACTGACCTCGGCACAATGACCTCTTTAACTCACCTCGACCTTTCAAATGCGGGATTCAGTGGGAAAATTCCTCATCAGATCGGGAATCTCTCCAATTTGCTCTACCTTGATTTGAGAATTGATTCTTTTTATGTTGGACCTCTATTTGCAGAAAATGTTGATTGGCTTTCAAGTCTATCCAAGCTTGAGTATCTTCACTTGGGATGTGCAAATCTTTCCAAATCATTTGATTGGCTACACACTCTCCAAGCTCTTCCTTCTTTGATGCACCTACATTTGTCAGGATGTTCGCTCCCTCTCCCTCACTATAGCCAACCATCTTTAGTTAACTTCTCATCTCTCATCACTCTTCATATGTCCTCTATTCATTATCCTTTTGTCCCAAAGTGGATATTTTGTCTGACCAAGCTTGTTTCTCTCCAATTTTGGGGAAATGAAATTCGAGGTTCGATTCCCGATGGTATTCAAAATCTCACACTACTTGAAAATCTTCACTTGACTTCAAATTCATTATCATCTTCTATACCTAATTGGTTATCCGGTCTTCAACATCTCATGTTCTTGGACTTGTCAGACAACAATTTGCATGGGATTATCCCTAATGCCATGGGAAATTTGACTTCTCTAGTTCAACTTGATTTGTCCAATAATCAACTCAGAGGAAAAATTCCAACTTCTTTGGGTAATCTATGCAACTTGAAAGAGATAAGTTTCTCATTTCTCAAACTCAACCAACCGATTAATGAAATTATACAAATTCTTGCTCCTTGTATTTCTCATGGACTTACATCACTTGGAATTCAAAGTTCTCAACTTTCAGGCAATCTGACTGATCAAATTGGAGATTTTAAAAATATTGTCTCACTACAATTTCGCAACAATGCAATTGGTGGTGAACTTCCTAAATCATTTGGAAAACTTTCATCAATAACATATCTTGATCTGTCCACAAATCAATTTACAGGAAATCCATTTGAAAGTCTTAGATCACTCTCTAAATTGTCATATCTTGCAATTTATGGCAACCATTTTCAAGGAGTTGTCAAAGAAGATGATCTTGCAAATCTTATGATTTTAGAGAAAATTTTGGCATCGGGGAGCAATTTGACTTTAAAAGTGAGTCCCAATTGGTATCCTAATTTTCAGCTTACTTATTTGGATATGAGCTCATGGCAAATAGGTCCCAACTTTCCATCATGGCTTCAGTCACAAAACAAACTTGACTATTTGGACATGTCTAATGCAGGAATACTTTATTCTATTCCCACTTGGTTTTGCGAAGCATTTTCTCATATGCTTTATTTAAACCTCTCTCATAATCATATCAATAGTGAGCTTGTGACCACATTAAGGAAACCATTATCAATCAATACGATTGATCTAAGTACAAATCACATTAATGGTAAATTACCATATCTTTCAAATGATGTGTATCGGTTAGATCTTTCAAACAATTCATTCTCTGAATCCATGAAAGATTTTTTGTGTAAAACTCAGGACAAGCCAATGCAATTAGAATTTCTCAATCTCGCATTGAATAATTTGTCAGGAGAAATACCTGATTGTTGGATGATTTGGCCATTTCTAGTTGATGTAAATTTACAAAGCAACCATTTTGTTGGGAACTTGCCACCAACCATGGGTTCCTTAGCTCAGCTACAGTCTTTACAAATTCGTAACAACTCACTCTCAGGAATATTTCCCACCAGTTTGAAGAAGAATAACCAATTGATATTCTTGGACCTCGCGGAAAATAATCTTTCGGGAACTATTCCAACATGGGTTGGAGAAAAGTTCCTAAATATGCAAATCCTCAGCCTTCGATCAAATGATTTTTCCAGTCACATTCCAAATGAAATATGTCGCATGAGTTTTCTTCAAGTTTTAGACCTTGCACAAAACCATTTGTTTGGCAATATACCTAGTTGTTTGAATCACTTGAATGCCATGACACTAATGGGTAGAAGTACAGATCCTCTTATCTTTTCTAAAGCAATAAACTATACATTTAGTGACACAACAAGTATAGTCAGTATGCTCCTTTGGCTGAAAGGAAGAGGAGATGAGTACAAAAACTTTCTAGGTTTGGTAACAAGCATTGATCTGTCAAGTAACAAATTATCAGGTGAAATACCTACAAAAATCACAAATCTAAATGGATTGATTTTTTTGAACTTGTCCCACAACCAATTAACTGGTCATATTCCATCAAGTATTGGTAATATGGGATTGTTACAAATCATTGATATATCAAGGAATCAACTTTCAGGAGAAATCCCTCCAACCATATCAAAGTTGAGCTTTCTTAGTGAGCTAGATTTGTCTCATAATCATTTGAAGGGTAAAATTCCAACAGGCACTCAGATTCAAAGCTTTGAAGCATCCAATTTTGTTGGCAATAATTTGTGTGGTCTACCACTACTTGTTAATTGTAGTTCGAATCCACAAATTCCTAATAATAATCACATTGGTACAGAGGATGATGGGCATGGAATAAATTGGTTCTTTGTGAGTATGACACTCGGATTTGTTATGGGATTCTGGGTAGTTGTTGCTCCTTTGTTCATTTATAGATCATGGAGATATGTCTATTTTTGTTTTCTTGATGACATGTGGTACAAGTTGCAATCCTATTGGTGATTGTTCATTTTTAATGTAGCGTTGTTATTTTATATTGTTGGAAATAAATTACATTATAATTGCAACTTTCACCCCCAAAAGACACAATAGGCTAATTGCCTCTACCATTTGGATATTCATTTAAATTCACCAAAAGGAGACTAATATCCATTTCTTGCCTTAAAAATGTATTTTTGTTCCCTTGTTGTGCCTTTTCAATTAAGCAACTAACATGCTTTCAAATTAGAGTGCAAAGCATCTTTCAACTTATACTTTTTTATCCTTACTCTTCTTCATATGTGGTTTTGTCTTGGTTAAGATACTTGATCCCCATTTGATGATTTAAGGAACCTGATCTTAGAGATTATTTGATATTTTAGAGATTATTTGAGATAATATTAGTTTTAGGGATTAATATTACAACGTTTACCACTCTTCTGAAGCTGAATATCGAGCGCTTGCAAGTACTGTTTGTGAATTACAGTGGTTGACATTCTTGCTCCAAGACTTTGCTGTTTCATTTACCAAGCCAGCTACTTTATACTGTGACAACAAATCTGCTCTTCATATCGCTGCAAATCCCGTGTTTCATGAGCGTACTAAACACATTGAAATTGATTGTCATATTGTTAGAGAAAAGGTTCAAAATGGTTTAGTCAAATTGCTTCCAATCTCTTCTGCCAATCAATTGGCTGATATATACACAAAAGCTCTTTCTCCTGCAGCTTTTAAATTCCTACATGTCAAGCTTGGAATGAATGATATTCATTCCAGCTTGAGGGGGGATCTTAACTAATAGTAGTTAGTTGATTAGCTTAGTTAGATAATTAACCATGATGGTTAACAGCCAGTTAGGTTGTATATAAAGATATGATGACTACCTTTGTATATATTACATGAATTCAGAATCAAATAACAGAATCAGTTTCTTCCCTATACTCTCTTTTCTTTTCAGATTCTTTGAGTCTCTTTTCTTCCGTCCATGGATTTTGCTATTGTTAAGACGATCCTTTAAATAGGCTTTCATCTTGGAATGCAACTCTCAGTTCTAATTGTTGTGAGTGGGTTGAAGTCGTGTGCAATAACGTAGCAGCCCACGTTGTACAGCTTCACCTCAACAATTCACCACCTACTTAATTTGGATGAATATTCATTCGATGAGGAACGTTTTAACGAAGCTGATGAAGTTTATTGGAGAGTTAAGACCTTGTTTGACTGATTTAAAGCATTTAAATTACTTGGACTTAAGAGGCAATGATATTGGAGGAGGTATGCCCATTCCTGATTTTCTGGGGACTATGATCTCCTTAATTAACTCATCTCAACATCTCCTTTGGGAGTTTCAAGTGGAAAAATCCCATTTCATATTGGAAATCTCTCCAATTTGCTCTACCTTGGCCTCGATAGTTCTTTTGGTGAACCCCTGTATGTTAAACATTTTAATTGGTTGTCAAGTCTTTCCAAGCTTCTATATCTTCACTTGGGAGCAGCAAATCTAATCCAAGTCACACTAGTGGAAAATCAGTTTTTTATGTTACCGTTTTCTTGTTGGTCATAAAAATATCCAACGTAAAAAATACGTGGTAGCATTTTTAATCTAAACTATTTTACGTCGGACTAAAGGAGGTCCGACGACGTAAAAATTAAAATCTTCGTCGGATATGAAGTATAGTCTAACATAGATTTCAATTTTTACATCAAATCGCTTTTAATTTCCTTGATCAAGTTGGTTCAAACTTCAATATATTGTTGACGTAGTGTCATTATTTAATGTTGTGAAAAGTAAAATTGTCATGTAACATTGAAGTTGACTTGATTTGCCCATTTGGCTACGAGCTCATGGCAGTTAGGTCTCAATTTTCCATCATGGATTCTGTCACAAAACAATCTGTATTATTTAGATATGTCTAATGTAGGAATTTTAGATTCTATCCCCACTTGGTTTTGGCGAACATTCTCTGAAGCTTCTTATGTAAACCTTTCTCACAATCATATCCACAGTAAGCTTGTGACTACATTAAGGAATCCATTATCAACCAATATTGTTGATCTAAGCACAAATCGTTTATGTGGTAAATTGCCCTATCTATCAAAGAATGTCGAATGGTTGAATATTTCAAGTAATTCATTCTCTGAACCCATGAATGATTTCTTGTGTAACAAACAATTCAAACAATTTGGATTAAAATTTCTCAATCTTGCATCAAATAATTTGTCAGGGGAAATACCTGATTGTTGGATAAAATGGCCAAATTTGATGGATGTAAATTTACAAAGCAACAATTTTGTTGGGAACTTACCCCCATCCATGGGCTCTTTAGCCAGGTTAGAGTCTTGCAACATTCGTAACAACTCACTCTCAGGAATATTTCCTGCCTTTTTGAAGAAGATAAACCAATTGATATCCTTGGATCTTGGGGAAAATAACTTTTCAGGTAATATTCCAACATGGATTGGAGAAAGGCTTTTAAATATTAAAATTCTCCGCCTTCGATCAAACAAATTTTTAGGTCATATTCCAAATGAAATATGTGACATGATTTTTCTTCAGGATTTGGACCTTGCACAAAATAGTTTGTCTGGAAATATACAAAGTTGCTTTAACCACATAAGTGCCATGTTTCAAAAGAACTAAAGTACAGATTTATTCATATATGAAAAGGACATCAATATGGGATTTAGTAGTGTAATCAGTATATTTTTAGGCATAAAAGGAAGTGTTTTAGAGTACAAAAGTATTCTTGGCTTGGTGACAAATATTGATCTTTCTAATAATAATTTATCCAGAAGGATAACTAGAGAAATCACATATCTAGATGGTTTGATTTATTTAAATTTGTCCAAGAATCAATTGATTGGCCAAATTCCGCCAAGTGTAGGCAACATGAGATCATTAGAATCCATGGATATCTCAAAGAATCAACTTTCGGGAGAAATCCCTCCAACCATAGCAAACTTGAGCTTTCTCAACGAGCTAGACGTGTCTTATAATCATTTGAAGGGTTAAATTCCAACAGGCACTTAGATTCAAAGCTTTGAAGCATCCAATTTTGTTGGCAATAATTTGTGCGGTCCTCCTTTACTTGTTCCAATAAGCAAACTTCTGGTGTTAAATGCATTAGAACAGAGGATGGCGGGCATGAAGTGAATTGGTTCTTTGTGAGTATGACACTTGGATTTGTTGTGGGATTTTGTGTTGTTGTTGCACCTTTGTTCATTTATAAATCATGGAGATATGTCTATTTCTGTTTCCTTGATGACATGTGGTACAAAATGCAATCCTATTGGTGATAGTTGGTTTTGTAATGTAACATTGCTATTAGTATTTTATATGTTGTTGGAAGTAAAATTGTAAAAGAATTTCAACTTTGTGAGCAACTTCTTCTTATTTTAGACTTCATCTATATAGTATGTTGATGAAACATCTTAATTGAAGTGGCTACATTTCTTATGAGGATAGAACTTTGTAATATCTTACAATTGAAATGGTTCTAGATTAGCGTTAGAATTGAATTTGGAATTAGCTTTCAGATACATCAAGACATGCTTATCTCAAATTTCGTGGTGATATAAAAGACTACAAATTTCTTTCATGATGCCAAGGTTAAAGCTCTTTGTAAACTCGTCATTTTAAGTTTAGCCTTTTTTAACTTCGTCTCTATTTTTTTTATTTAATTTATTTTGAGATTTTTAATGAAAAGGAGAATAGAAAAAGAGGTCCCCAAGTTTGTCTTGGAAGAAAAGATTTTTTATACCAACATTTGTTGATTTGATGGGTGTTGTGGATGGTCTTCAAACCTCAAAAGCATGAGTACAAAATTTGGATTTGATAAAACAAGAGCAGTCAAAGTCTCGAAGGAGACTAAACCAAGAAAAAAAATTGTGGTGGTTGTTTTCGATGCAAGTTTGATAAAGTTGAGCAAACTCGAATTTCTATGGGCATGCAGGATGCGTGAAGGAATGAGGATTTTTAGGGTCACTACAAAAAAAATGTGTGATTTGTGGCAGTTATTAACCGAATCGTCGGTGGAAGAAAACTGTTTGTGGCGTCAATCACTTTGTGGCGGTTGTATAACCGTCACAAAATGAATTTTAATATTACTTGTTTTACAATTTATTACGGTTTAAAACCGCCATAAAATTTATCTAAATTTTTCTTTATTTAACATTTCTAGCGGTTTGAAACCGCCACAAAATTGCATTTTTTTTTTTTTTAACTTTTCTCACATTGGTAGCGTTTCCATCCATTTCATGTCATCTTCTGAATCACCATCTTGATGCCCATTTTGAGAACTAATATCTACGAGATTCACCACTTTATCTGATTGGGTAACAATCTAAATTTTCACAACTGCTTCAGCAGCACGCCCTGTAAGAAACTAAACCCAGCTTTCATCTTTCACCAAGCTATCAACTTATCATTTCTCTCTCCCTGTGCATTATCCTGATGACTTGAATGATATAGCCGAATGTTAGAGCACAATACAGAAAGGGTAACCCCTAGAGCTTCCCTCACCTGTTGTACAGACAAATTGAAACAGGTCAGAACCATAAACAAAAAATAAAACTTGCACCCACTTTTATATTCATATTACTTCACCCAAAAAACAGATCCAGAGTCAATTTATTTATACCACTGACACACTTTCAACTTAAAATAGGGATGTATAGAGAAAAAATTGGAGATCTTATATTTTATATACAACTAAACCATGCGTTAGTCAATGAATTGACTGATTATTTTGATAAAATTTCTTGCAATTTTTGCACTATTTCCAATTTCATATACTTACTTGGGTTGATAAGTAGCATATATTACCAAGAACTTCCTTCAGAAGTGTATTGTGGAGCTGGATTTCAGCTACTGGCATTTTCTGTGGGGATATTTCTATAAGTGCAGCAGCCAAAAAAGTATATCGCTCGGCTGTTACAGTGGTAGCTACTGTTGGAGGTAAAGGTGTCATCAAAGAATCCAGAATTTTCTGTCTCAATAGAGGAACTGATGGAATCATGCCTAGGAAGGCAAGGGGTGACACATTGGAAGAGCCAAGAGGAATGGGCTAGACATGAAGGTTTGGGCCAGTCAAGGCCCAATGGGCCCGATGGGCTTGAAAGGCCCAAGATGAGCTTCTCATGGGCCATATTTGGTTTTAGCTATTTTTCTTATATCTTGTATATATCATGTTAGTATAGGTTTCCTATATTTTGGGTCTTGTATTTTGCTTGGCCATTGTATTTAGGCCATTAGAATAGGAATTTAGAAGGATTAACTAATAAAGCAAGAATTATAGAATGTTAATTACATTTAGGAGTAATTAAAGTTTCATTTGAGTCACATGTTTTATGCCAAAGGTGGCTACACATGTGTACATTCAAATAAACCCTAAATTACCTCTAAATGCAATTAAGAATCTAGAAGGAAGGGCTGCACATGGGTTAGGATAAGTGGACGTCCAATTTGAATTCAAATTCAAATTTGAATTCAAAATTGGCGCCACTTTTGAGTGCACATGTGATGGCTCCAAAGACTCCTTTGATCCGTGGCTTTAAATGCTTGACTCCTTCACTATTGTAAATACTTTGGAACCTTGAATGAGAATTTACTCTTTGATAATTCTCTCCTCCAAAGTCTCCTTTTGATCCTAGCTTCTACCCTACTTGAGATCTTCTCCTTGTAGAGCTAGGATTCCCACACCTTCTATCCAGAATAGATAGGTAAACCTTGGCTATACTTACCTCCTTCAAAGCTTCAAGTCCTTGCAACTCTTCAAGGATCCGAGAAGAGGTTTCATGAAGCATCCATGAGGTTTTCTTCAAGAAGAACCTCATCAAGTGGTATCTAGAGCTCAGTCTTCAAGAGATAAGTGCCTTATCTTTTGAGTGATTTTGTTTTTTTTTTTTTTGATCCGTGTTCATCTTTATGTCATTGTCACTTTTGAGTTGATTCTTTCCTAGATCTAATTGTGCCTAAAATTTGATAGATCTAGCTTTCGGATTGCTTGAATGATTCATATATGCTTCTTGATTTAATTGCTTTCCATGAATCATGCTCCAAAAATTATGCTTCTAGCTAGGAAAATTTAGCTTATGAACTTTTATTTTCTTGAGTCTTAATTGAAAATTTTCGGTCATTTGAACTGTTTGAGTCTTTTAAATTTTTGAATCCTATGTCTAGTGTCATGTGTAATCTTCAATTGTTCTTAATCCCTAGCTATGCTTGTTTTACTTTTTTGTGTTAATTGTTTCTGAATTTTCTGGATTTGACCGAATCAATTTGGTTTAGTGTGCTCCATAATTTTGATTTGCATTTGAGTTCATAAACTACTATTAGATCATTAGTAGTTTTCTTAGTTTTTTTTAGGTCTCCTTTGATTCAAAGTGTCTTCAAATTTTGTGCCAATTCCGTGAGTTTGAATTTAAGTATCATTTGGTTGCTAAAAATTTGTGTTTGGAAAATTTGAATTCAAATTTTAGTGTGCTTAAATCGGGGCATGTGAGTGAGAAAATCAAGTAAGAAAAGCATGTGCCATGTTCATCTCATTTAAACCTAATTTGAGTTGCATGTGTTTAAATTTCAAATCCGATTTTATTGCATTGACTTTTAAGTGGTGACCGAGAGTTTTGTGTTCAAAATTCAAAAGGATAAAAGGCATCTCCTATATATATATATATATATATATATTTTATATCAATTTTCTTTTTGAATTTTCTTTTGAACCTTTGATTTTATTTTATATATATATATATATATATATATATATATACACACATTTTTTTCTTGGAGTAACATACATTTTCAGCTTGCAAATTTTGAGTGTTTTTGATTTGTCATTCTAAATCTAGAACCTATCTAAGATCATTCCTTCTTGTGCTAGCCTTGTCATTTTCTTTGTTCATCTAAATTGTTTACTCTTCTACTCTACTCTTGTCTTGGTTATCTCTATATTATCTTGGCTGTTTTTGTCTAACCTTGAACTCAAAGTGTGGCCTAGTGTTGACCTAATCTATTTCAATAGAAACTAGTTCTACAAGGGTCATCAAAAGAGGACTAAGATAAGGTGGAGGAAAAGGTGACAAAGGAGATCATCTCGGGTGGCTACTAAACAATCACTAAACACTTCAAAAATTCTGGAAAAACTTGTGGGTGCTGCACTTTACCAAAGCCGTGAAGATCCATTGGAAGAAGATTTCAAAATTGTATTGATTTAAAAAAAAAAACAGAGTATTAGAGACTAAATTTCCATCACTAATTTGATTTTCCTTACAAAAGTGGTCTCTAATTCCATCACTAAACTCGGTGGCTGTTTTTGTGTCATTAAAAGCCACTTGTTTACTTTTCTGTCCAGCATTTGTTTTAATTGTAATTGGCCATTTTTGGTAGGGATGGCAAAGTGGGTCATGGCCCGCGGGCCGGCCCGTTGGCCAGCCAAAAATTGGCGGACTGGGCCAATCATTTCAACCCGCCAACCCGCCGAGCCAAATAGCGGGCTGGCCCGCCACAACCCGCCGGCCCGCATAATTTTTTTTAATTTAATTATTTTTATGTTTATTTTATTTTGATGTAGAAGATGAGGATGAAGATGATTAATTAATTGTATTAAACTTGTTTTGTAGAATAGCAAAAAATTTAGTTTATAAATAATTTGTAAGTTTATAATTTGGTTTCTATTTTGGTGTAAATGGACTAATTTCTATTTAATTTTGTTCTAAGTTTGTAATTTATTTTTGTTGAACATATATTATGTACAATATGCATGCATTTTTAATTTTCTATGGTTATATTTATTTATTTATAGCAAATTTTTTTTATTTGACCATAAAATATATTTTTTTTTTATTTTTTATTATTTTTTTTTTTGTAAG